TGGACTTTTACTGCCTAGGCATTAAAAGTGACAGTGTCACAACGTTCCAGGTAATAATTTCACTCAATTTTGTATTTGAAATTGATGTTGACAATGACAATTGTCAAAATAATTGAATTATTTGGATAATAATAATGAATGAAATAAATATAAAAACGACGTCCATGTGTGAATTTGAACATTCGGAGAAAAAATTATATGTTTTACATGGCAGAAAAGCAGATTTAATGCCTCGGCTGGTTTCCTAGCCTCGGCTACGCCTCGGCTATGAAACACCAGCCGCGGCATTAAATCTTGTACTTTTCTGCCTAGTGAAACAAATAACTATTTTCTCCAAACGTCAGAAAAACGTCACTTTGTTAACCCCTGTCAAGATGTCAGAAATTTGATTTTTGTGACGTTTTTTTGACGTTTGGAGAAAAACGTTTTTTTGATTATTATGAAACCCCCTCCCCCCAAATGAAAAACCTGGGTGCGCCACTGGATCCATACACCATTTATATAGAGAGACTTTTTGGTTTTTTACTATATGGATTTCGTAAGATTTTTTCTCTTTTGCTACAATCCATGAATCCCTCACAAAGTATAGACAAATTATTTTTCTCCGTTAAAAACCTGTGTTTTGTTTCTGCAGGAATGGCATGAAACTTGACTTTCTCGCGTTTAGAACGGCTCCCACAACTAAGTACAATACATGATGTATGCATTTTCCAAAAAATCAACACTTTACAGACTTTATACAAATCAAAAATCGCAATAAAACGGCATTTTTTTAAATAAAAAGGCATTGGCCTCCATTTTGAATTTCATTTTGACAGGTCGTTGGATTGCCCTATTGATTGATTATTGAGGTTAGCTTAAATACGTCAGGGCCAGACCGCGTTCAGTAAATGGACAATTTAATTATCTGTCACCCACAAGCGGCGCGCGCAACATAGGTAAAATAAGAAAGGTCCATTGATTTTATACTTATAAGTTGAATACGTGATGACAACTGTCAAAATTTTCATCTTTATGCTCTTGAAGCTATTTTCCGAACTCAGCTATAATATTATATCCCTAAAAAATTAAATATACCTAATATATAGGGTGTCTTATTTTAAACAAGTTGTTGCTATACTATCTTGAAGATATTTTAGCGGGGTTGCCCCGAGTGACATTAGTAGACTGTCAAATTTTCAACATTTTTCTTTATAGGTATCTAGTCCTAGTAGTTCTCATATACAGGATGTTTTCTATTTAAATAATCGAATATCAATATTCAAGGAGGCGATTTTTTGATCTATTAAAAAGAAAACTCCTTGTGAACGTATATCCTAAACATCTTAACTTTTGAGATTTAAAGTAATGTCTGGCCAACGATTTTAAAGCTACGGGGCATGAGGGGAATGCAGTTATAAAAAAAAATTGCTGATTCCATTCATAAAATACCCAGCTGCGTGCGGAACTTTTTGGAAGTACATATAAATTGGTATTGCAACTCGACGAACATCGACAATGACCAAAGCACCGCCACTGGATATTTCAATGTAAGTCCATATTTCAAGATGGAAGGATAAAATTATGAGAGCCCTGGCTAATAGCGAGACGTAAGCCCCAATGGCAACCGCATGGTTCCCCGCATGGAAACTGCGATCGTGACAAAAACTCCACCAATCAGGTTCATCCAGCCCAGAAAATGTTTATTTGTTGTTAAATAGTAGAGAAAAAAAATCAAATAGACTATACTTCATAATTCATATCTAGAATTTTCGCTTTTTTACAATAAGACGTGGCAACATCTGACATTTACATCACCACATTTTTTTCAATTGCCACCAGTCCAGTGGCAAAGTTTACCCAGTGGCGTGCGTACGGAATTTGACCTGCCTATTCTGGCAGACTTTGATCCCTTGATTAAGTCATAGTCATAGCATAGTCATAGCATTTGAAATAAAGACTGGACAAAGCAAATAGGATGATATGAGACAAACGCTTAATTAAAACAGTTTTTCCAAAATCAAATTTTATCACAATAAGTATCGATCTATTTTTTACAATTTGGCAACATTGCCTTCTAATCCATAACCATAAAATAGAAAATAATTTTGATTTTTGATTCACTATACGATTTTATACGAGGGTCATTAAGTCAATTATCAAGTTTCCAAGGAGGTCCAGAAGCAAAAAAAAATTGAATGGAATTAGGTCTGTTCACACAAAAATCACAAACCACTCAGAATGAATTTCATTGGTTGAAACGTTGAAACTAGTTTTCTGACTGTTTTCAACCAATGAAATTCGCTTTGACTGGTTTGTGATTGCTGTGCGAACAGACCTAATATTTTCCCTCGATTTTGTCTAATAGTGGTTCGTTTCGCAGATACCTAAGAACCTACCTATTACGATTTGAATCCACTTTCGCTGGAATTCAAAATTTTCCCGAAGCCGCGGGTCTTGTTCTTTTTTTCTTGCTTTTTTGTCTGTTTTCGGTCTGCCTCTTTCTTGTCTTTTTTATTGTCTTTGGTCTTTATGTCTTTATATACTATAGAACTACTATGATGTTTCTGATGATGGCATACGAAATCAGTTAGTGGCGATTGGCGAATCCACTGGTGGGGGGGGGGTAAAAGAGTAATAACCCCCCCCCAGAGGCCTAAGAAAATTTTTTTCATTAAAAAAACTCACAAAGTACCTATATTTTTTGGAGGCATAAAATGCTTTAGGCGAAAAAAAATTCTTCATCCTTTGGGTGTGAACCCCTTCAAGTATAAACAGTGGCGTAGCCAGTAGGGGGGCAAGGGGGGCGACGGCCCCCCTCGCCCCCACACGTGTCGCGCCCCTACCGCTCTTGAAAAACAAAAGCAAAAAATAAGAAATTATAAAATGATGCTGTTTCTTATTTATTTTATGTCATACCAATACATTATTGTGTTTTTATACCTTAGATACCATCTATATAATTCATTACTTTATGCCCGTGCGGGCATAAAGTACACATTATGACCCGCGCGGGCATAAAGTACACATTATGGCCCGCGCGGGCATAAAGACGCAAAAAAAAGTTTTCAATTAACTTATTCTTTATTAACAAAATATAAATTTACGCTTATAAACATATTATTTTTGTCAAAAAATGTTGATTTTGCACACTGATGACAATTTGCAAAGTGACACTTTTTTCCCAGGTATTTATTATTCACAACCAACTGGTATGACATAAAAATTTGTATGCACCACGGGTACTAATAGATATATATACCCTCGGGCGACTTACGAACCCTCGGGCCAGAGGCCCTCGGTTTGTAAGACTCTCGCCTTCAGGGTATAATCATCTACTTAGTACCCTTGATACATAAATAACTATTATTGACCTCTTCACTCTTTATTAATTCTTGATCGTAAGTCGGCATTGTCGGCAAAGGAAAGTTTCTGTTTTGATGATTGATGTGGTATTTGTTTATTGGGTTGGGTGAGGCTGTCATATCCGTCCGGATTTCCCCGGATGTGTTCCGCAGTTTTCAAGGCGTCCCCGCAGACGTTCGGGAGGATTTTTTGAAGTTAACAGCATGTCCACACATTATTTTTCGTAAGGCTTAAAATACATAAATGTTTTTCGGCCTGGAACCCGAAAAAAAAAACTTTTTTGGGCGTGGCACTCGAGAACATTTTTCGCCTTCGGCAGCGCGTTTTTGATATCTTCCCCCAATAAGCAAATATTACAAAAGCAGACAATTACGAACATTTATTTGTTATTCTCCACCCCCCACCCCCCAAAAAAATTATGCGCCCCTTATATGTTTGCCCCATCCGCCCCGCAAGGCTGGCTACGCCACTGAGTATAAACCACGAGCCGTTACTGATTGAGAAGCTCTACCCTACCACCTTCCCCCTTACCCCAAAATGATGAATGATGCCCTAGATCCGCCACTGTACGAAATTAATTTCAAATGAAGGGAACCTTCATAGTTCCTGAAACAGTCCAGAAACAACTTGAAAAAAATTATTATAACACAATCTAAAACTTAATAATTTAGAAAATTTAATTTACTTTCAAAATCCGTTACCCGCAATTATAATTATGTCCCCTCTCCCACCTTATTATTATTGCATTGCCTCATCTTGCATCTTGCCACATTGCCCTTGAACACAAGCTGTAACACGGTGCCAAATAAAACCCCTTTCCGCCATTCCTAGTCATTGTTGGGTTGGGTTCTAAGAATTGATTGATGGACTCCAGTTTAGCCAGCTACCTGCGTTGATAACATGTAAAATAAATTGTTAAATTATACTTATATACTATTTATTTCGTGAAAGAAAATTCAGATTATACTTTGGATTAACGTTTATTGTAAGTATTATACAGATTTTATCATTATTATTGGTACATATTAATAGGTAAATATGTATTGATACCTATTTGAAAATTAATTTCATCAAGATTCGATCTAGTCCGTGGAGCCTGGATCTGTCTTATGGCTGGGATATTATTATCTAATATTATTATTCATAACTTTTTTGTTTTTTATTTTATTTTATTACTATTTATGTATTTTTGGTTTTCTTTTTACTTAATTCTTTCGTAAAATAATTTATTCGCGTTTGTTTAGTTGATTGGAACCGTCTAAAGGGGCCGACTAAAATACCGTTTAATATGATTAAAATTATGCATTAAAACAATCTTATTCAAGAATGAATTTTTGCCATGTATTTGAAATGGATGTTTTCGTGTCTTTATGACTCGTAGAGTCCAGTCAATATTATAAGAGAGGAACGAAAATGAAAATAGCCATAACGACCTCTTAACTCTGAGAAATAGGCAACCAGATATACACGTTTCTTTTTGCTCAAAAGATCAACACAGAACCTGACAGACAGATTGACAATATACTTTGACATATTATTGGTCAGAGTTATGTGACGTCACGGAAGGTGCGCGTTTTGAATAGACTCGTTTTATCGGCAAATTCAATATAAAGTCAGTTGTTTTTTTTTTAAAGATAATTCCCCAAGTCAAAAATTTAGTAACTATGTTGGCTACACAAGCCTTTTCTACATAAAAAATTTGAAAGCCATTGACAATTTTACATTGTATTGCCAACATAATGTCAGTTTGACTTTTATCTTTTAAAAAAAAACACATTTTATATTTTTTTCTCGTTTTCTTTGCACTGATTCTGCAAAAGGAAATCGCTATCAGTTTTTTTCTTCAAGTTAGGTCAGAAAGTGGTTTGATCGTAACGTAAGCAGCTATTGTTACATACATTTTATATTGTATTAGGCAGGCAATTTAAAAGATGAAAATTCAATAAAAAACGGCGGTACGGCCATTCCAAAATCTTTGTCAATTGTCACAATGATTGTCACTGATTCCATTATTCCCGTTTCGTAGGAAACAGGGATCGATCATCGATATTAGTGCTAGACCTTATCATGTACAGGGTGTTTCAAATTCGAGCCACATCATTGGGATTGGGATCTCGGAAACGGTGAGAGATACAGAGTTGGTTAAATTAGGGCAAAGTTGCGAAATTTGATGTTCAACAAAATACCACTTTGATATTTAGGATACATATTCCGAATACTTCCGGAGATATCCAGAAAAACCCGAAATTTTGCAAAATGGTTTTTATTTTTTCTTGACTTTATTTAAAGTGATATTTGAAAAAAAAATGTCACTTCATCATCATAGTCTCTTTTTCTCCCTTACAAGATACCTACTTAACCTACTAGCTTCAAATTTAAAATCTGACGTTTCGTATTTGAGCCACCATATTTTTTATATTAGATTTTATAAGCTTCAGACGTCCCAAAACTAATGACGTATTGCACTTATTCGAAAAATTTATATTAGTGGCACTTTCCATAAAAACTAAATGTGTTAGAGGGAGACAGAGAAGGGAATTTTGGTAGGAAATTACTAAAAAGTGAAAAAATAGTTATTTTTGTCACAAGTACCTAAAATGAAGTTTTTCAGGAGGAATCATTGCTGTTTCCGTACGAGGCTTTAGCCGAGTCCGGAATAGCAGATGAGTCCTGAAAAACTTCTTTAGGTACGTGTGACAAACACTATTTTTTGTCATACGCTTTTTAGAATTCTCCAGAACGCTAAAATTTGCAAAATTTCCTTAATTTTTGAAATCATAAGGGTGCATCCAGGACGAAAAAAAAATCATAAAAAGAAGCATTCTACGGACTTGAATGAGTCCGTAAAATAGCTGTTTTTGGGAGCCTATGACAAAAATATTTTTTTCCTACGAGCGTGCGCAAAGTAGTACTTTTCCGCACGCATTTCCGGGCTCAAAGTTACACTTTTCCGCACTCAGTGCGGATACAGGCCTTATCCGCACTGAGTGCCGAAAAGTAATTATAATTGTCAAGCAACAATAAGTGCACCTGTCGACTTTGACACATGATGACAAATTTTTCCTCTATTTCTATATCAGCCAACATCTATACAAGCACCAATTATAAATTAACTTTGACACATCAGATTTGTTCTCTATTTATATGCAAAAATCTATAAACTTTCTCATCAAATTTAAACGCTTTAAGATGAACAGCTCTGACGAGGATTTTCTGTTATTTGTTTCTGTTATGTAATTTTTTGATAAATGCATAGGTTCCTTTCAAGTTAATTAAAAATAATTAAACAAATTATCGTTTTTTTTTTTTTAATTTTTGTTATTACCTACCTGATATGAAGCTCGTAGGAAAAATGTTGTTCCTAACACGTGCGCAAAGTGTCTTTTCCGCACGCAAACACGTATCCGAACTCCGCTTCGCATCGTTCGTATAACTGTGTTTGCGTGCGGAAAAGTAACTCTTTGCGCACTTGTTAGGAAAATAACTATTTCCTACAGCCGTGCGGAAAAATCGATTTTCCGCACTGATATATGAGTGCGGAAAATGAGTTTTCTCGCACGGTGCGGTAAAATTATTTTTTTTTGACATATCAGTGCGGAAAAAGTTTTTCCGCACGGCAGTCAGTGCGGAAAAAATTTTACCGCACTGATATGTCAAAAAAAAAAAGAAAAATTTTAGATTTTTACGCCTGTAGGAAAAATATTGTACCTAACACTTGCGGAAAATATTTTTCCGCACTCGGCTGCCGTTCACCGAACGACGCGTAGCGGCATTTTCTTAAGCATCAAATTACGCAACTTTGCCTCAATTTAACCAACCCTGTATCTCTCACCGTTTCCGAAATCCCAATGATGTGGCTTGAATTTGAAACACCCTGTACAGTCGTGAGCATTAAAAGTGGGACACCCGACTGACAGGTCTTGTCATTTCACGCTATTTTGGGTAAATCATGGCCGTTTCCACCAACGGAAATTTAAGTTTACTTAACGTTAAGTGCCGCTTATATTTTAATTTTGTTTCCACCAGTCTAACCTAGTCTCATTAAGATAAGCTTAACTAAGCCCAGAAATTTCTAGGCTTATTCCTCTCTTAACAAAGTGGCGATGATCTGCGCAAGTCATTTGCATAATATGACATAACAAACGTTGAAATTGAATTGAGATAAAATTAGAATGTTCTCAATTTTCTAATTTCTGGTGTAGTTCGCGTTTTGACGGTGTAGCTGGTGAGCCCGTTCCACAATGGGAAAAATCGGGTGTTTCATTTTTAATGCTCACAACTGTACTTGTTTGAATTTTAGTCTACACTTGGCCAAACATAAAACTGGTACATGCATTTTCCTATGTGTTGTATTCTGTAAATCGACTTTTATTATCACCTCAAAAATTACAAAAAAAGTCAATCAGTATCATCTTTAAATCAAATTAAATGCCGCCGCAAATACATTTGACAATGTCAAATATCAAAAACTGTCTAACCTGAGTTTTTTTAAATTAAAAAAATACCTATTGCCTGTACCAGTTTTATGTTTGGCCAAGTGTACGTTACCTTGTTACCTATCAAGGGGTTTGATAGAAAGTCCTTGTTACGTTACATTCTATGGTTGCATTTTGTAATTTTGTTATTGTTTGTTGTGTAATATTGTGGGAAACATTAAAGAATATGGATGAGGATGAGAGTGGGAGTAGGGTACCTGGGCTGGGACTCCGTAACGAATAGGGATATTTTCTCTATTACTATCGGAGCGCCCTCTCTATTGATATCGAAAAGAAAGAAGACGATAGAAGCGAGTGCCATAGCGATGGGGATAACGATCTCCATTCCTTACAGACTACAGATCCTGCTTCAATTATTGTCCTTGTGGAGACGTGTTCGTTTTAAATGTTTCGATTTTCTAACGAATATTATGTAATGTTTGGTGGGTCTTGGCTTTGAAAAGCGAAATTTTGGTGGGGATGGAAATATGCGACAGAGAGTAAGGTTTATGGTTTATACATTAAACAGATGGGTTTGAATCACTAGTATCGACCCACCTGTTCAAACCTGCCAACTATGGTTGCCAGACGCCCCGATTTGCGTGAATACCACGGTTTTCCACTTGCTGCCACGCGTCACGCCAAAGTACCCCAATGCCCCGCTTTTCAAATTCAAAGGAAACTAAAAGAATAGAGCTTTTCAGAAAACGCCTAATAGTGGTTAAAGCCGACAACGCTGTGCCACAAGGGTCATACATTTTCTATCATAAAATGATAGTTGTATTTTTCCTTCCCATATATTAAAGTCTGTTTTTTTTTATTGAAGATAAAACCCCTACACAGAACCCCATCTGGGATTACGACAAGTAGAATTCTACTTTTAAGACGTCAGGTTGCCTAACAACCATTATCCGCTTTGTTCCCTGCGCAAAGCACAAAATTTATACAGAGTGGTTTCAGAACCGTTCATGGGACGGTTTTTGGCTTGTTGGAACAGAATCATCGCCTGTACTGTACGCGATAAATAAATTGCGGGTGACGTCATGAAAGTAAAATTCTACTTGTCAATTCCAGATTGTTACATTAAACCATTGAACTAAACAAACACTCTGGAACGGGCGCACTGTTTTATGCTCGTGTGCCGAATTTTGATATATGCAACCCAGCAATACAGTGGGATGGTTGTCTCGATCGTACTCCTTGCGATTAACGTAAAAGAAAGAAGAGCTTCTTCATCTTCCTTACCTCAATGATCCAAACACTTCAAACAGCTGTTCTCAATAGCCGCCATAGTGCAGAGAGAGATGCAAATCCCACTTGTTTGTTGTCCTTCCTGGCACAAACTACGAAAGCGCTGAACGGACATCGTGTTTTTTTTTGTCAATATTCTATAATTGTCAGTTACAACTGACAATTAGCCCTAATTGTCACTTACAACTGACAATTAGCCCTAATTGTCAGTTACAACTGACAATTAGCCCTAATTGTCACTTACAACTGACAATTAGCCCTAATTGTCACTTACAACTGACAATTAGCCCTAATTGTCACTTACAACTGACAATTAGCTCTAATTGTCACTTACAACTGACAATTAGCTCTAATTGTCACTTACAACTGACAATTAGCCGGCGGGCTCAAGTCGTGAGCATACTAGTGATGAGCGATACCGTGATTGATATCTACAAATCGCAAATCACGACCGCGACCAAAGGTCTATAAAAGGCGTGACGTAGCAAACTAATTTCTAGTTTAGGCTTTTTTCCCATACTATACCGGGTGACAACGAAATCGTTATACAAGGCGTCATTGAGTTGTCTTCAAATTTAAATATTTGAAAATCGGGTGGAACGTGTAAGTCATTGAGACGCACACTTTTCATAAAAAAACAATTGAATATCACTTCCAGTTCCTTTGGAAATGGACCCAAGTCAAGAAATTTTTATGGAACCCTGTATATTTTTTTACACAGTTGGATAGAGCTTAAAATTCCCTTTTCAATGATATATGATAAGTGGAATTTGCTTTTAAGATGGCGGCGTGAGAAGGCACTTTCTTAAATTCAAAATGGCGGCATTCTGATCTAACCTTTGCATACCTTAACCGAAAAATGAATATGCATTTTGGTAGACATTTTTCGGTAGGCCATTGGACACACTTTAATTCTAGAATTTAATAAGTACCTCTTCCTATTCAAAATTTTTAGAAAATTTGAAACTAAAATTTGCATTTCAAAGATATTTTGAAATGCCCTTGTTTTTGAGCAAAATCTTTTTTTTTTCAAATTCGATGTAAAACCTTTTCAAATCTAAAAATTATGGATTGGGAAAAGTGTTTGTTTGACAGAAACATTATCGGTTACGTCAGAATGCCGCCATATTGAATTTAAGAAAAATACCTTCTTACGCCGCCATCTTGGAAACAAATCCAAGTTGTGATATGTCATTGGAAAGGGAATTTTAAGCTCTATTCAACTTTCCAAAAAAATATACAGGGTTTCATAAAAATTTCTTGACTTGGGTCCATTTCCGGAGTAACCGGAGGTGATATTCAATTGTTTTTTTACGGAAAATGTGCGTCTCAATGACTTACCCGTTCCACCCAATTTTCAAATTTTTAACTTTAAAGACAACTGAATGACGCCTTGTATAACGATTTCGTTGTCACCCGGTACCTATACTTTTTTTCTATAAAGTTGAATACCTATCCAATAACACTGTAAGCATCTGTAAAAACGGACATAAGTTGAATTCCTTTCACAGCTGGGAACAGCTCCGGAGCAGCACCGGTGCTTTAGTTCGGGTTCCTTTCAGTTTGCGTGTGTTGCACCGGAGGTGTTCAAGCTCGATTTCCCCTGCCCCCTCATGCCACTAACTACACCACCGATCTACGTTGTACCCTCATAGCCCTAGGCGGAACAAAAAAAAACATGTTCCTTTCAGAAAAAAGGCGAGTTACTCCGGAGTGAGTAGCCCCGGTGTTTCAAACACTAGAAAGGAAGGAGCTTGGGGATATTTTTATTTAAAATAATGTATTGAAAGTCGTGATCAAAGCTTTAAAATCGCTGATTTCAAGAGATAACGGTATCATTGAACAGAGTGATTCGAAAATCACGGTATCGCTCATCACTAGTATGCTCACGACTTGAGCCTGCCGGCTAATTGTCAGTTGTAAGTGACAATTAGAGCTAATTGTCAGTTGTAAGTGACAATTAGAGCTAATTGTCAGTTGTAAGTGACAATTAGAGCTAATTGTCAGTTGTAAGTGACAATTAGAGCTAATTGTCAGTTGTAAGTGACAATTAGAGCTAATTGTCAGTTGTAAGTGACAATTAGGGCTAATTGTCAGTTGTAACTGACAATTAGGGCTAATTGTCAGTTGTAAGTGACAATTAGGGCTAATTGTCAGTTGTAAGTGACAATTAGGGCTAATTGTCAGTTGTAAGTGACAATTAGGGCTAATTGTCAGTTGTAACTGACAATTATAGAATATTGACAAAAAAAAACACGATGTCCGTTCAGCGCTTTCGTAAGAAACCCTTGCGTAGGGAACATTATGCAGCCACCGTTCCAGTGTGTTTGTTTAGTTCATTGCATTAAACAAACGTCTCTCGTAGTTTACGACTATTATATTTCTCTATGTGTAACTCAAAGTCAAAAATGTCACAAATCAAAATAAATCCAAGTGTAGGTAGGTATTAATTGGAGAAAAGACCACAGACAACTTCTTGTAAATAATAAGGCCTTTTTTGGTTTGCAAGATTGATAAGATGTCGAGTGAAATGTTCGAATGGATATCTTCTGTGGTTAGAAAATGGTTATCTCCTATCATGTTCGAATCTTTATGGTTTTTTGGCGCTTGAGTTGTTCTTAAACTTCCAAAAACAGTATTGGCTATAGCCTCCAGAAGGTCTCAGTTTCCAGTATCCGGCTCGAAGGACCGATTCGTGTCGGAGCACGACAGATCCAAATTTATGGACTGTATTCTTGTTTTCGATATATTTATTCAAAATTTATATTTACCCTTTGATCAACTTGACAATTGCTAAAAATCGAATATCATTATTTAAATCTAGACAAACAAAGCCGATTCAAGGCCCGAAATTAAGTCTCGATGAACCACATTGAAAAATTTAACCTTCTTCAAAAAATTGTTCTCTGGAAACTCTATCAACAAACTTCCTAGCTGCGTCAAGTTACCCCTCCCACATTCGAATTTTGCTTTACTGTGCCGATGATATTTTGAACTGTGCCGTTTCAATAACAAAGTTATAGGAAAAAATAGATGAGGAGCTCACTTGACGCTCAGCCCCCCAAAAATTTCGAAAATCAGTTTGAACAAAATTGAATTCTTATCCAATCTGAAGTGTGCTGAACTGTGCTGTATCAAGTTGTTCTCAAAATTTCCATATTCGGTCATTTTCCGACAAAAAAACTAAGAGGGGGCTAAGTTGATGCCAAATTTTGGAAATCAGATCAAAGAAAAACGGACTCTTATTCTTATTAAATCTGAAGTGTGCTGAATTGTGCCTGATCAGGTTATTCCAAGTTTACATGTTTGGCCATTTCCCGATATAAACCTAATGGAAAATTATTATAATTTCGTAAAATCTGTAGTTAGTAGGATTTTAGTTCGATTTGGAAATTTTCAGAAAAACCTGATACAGCACAGTTCAGCACACTTCAGATTGTATAAGAATCCTTTTTGGTTTCATCTGATTTCGAAAATTTTGGGAGGTCTGAGCGTCAAGTTAGCCCCTCATGTATTTTTTCCTATAACTTTGTTAGGTACCGAAACGGCACAGTTCAAAATATCATCGGCACAGTAAAGCACACTTCGAGCACAGTAGGTGGTTGCAATTTTTTTAGAAAATTCGCATGTGGGGGGGCTAACTTGAGGGAGCCCAAACTTCCTAGGAACTGAACTTTTGTTTTTATTAATGGATAGAATATATCGCCTACTGCATCTCTCATATAACAACCCGTTCGTCACTTCAGACATAAAGGGAAAGGGGGTTTCAAAAGACTTATTCCGATTATCGGAACACTATTAAATCACCTTTGCAAGCTTCTAAAAAATACTTCAAGCAATCAGAGGGACTTCAAACTTTCAGGATTTATTGAATAGGGCCTTTTTATCGAATAAAAAAAAACGACGAATGGATCTCAGACTCAGAAATAGAATTATGAATTCTTTTTTCACTTATACCTATGCAAAAAAAGCGATAATCAATTTGTGTTTGTAAAATTTCTAATAAATATCCTTAGAAAGCTTTTGAAAAATACTTCAATCGGATGGACTTCAAACTTCCAGGATTTATTGAGTAGGATCTTTTTATCAAACAGAACAAACCGCGAATGGATATCGAACTCAGAAATGGAAATATGAATTTTTTCTCACTTAAATGCAAAAGAAATTATACAGAATTTCTATTAAATCACATTTGGAAGCTTCTGAAAAACACTTCAAGCAATCAATACGGACTTCAAACTTTCAAGATTTATTCAGTAGAGTCTTTTTATCAAACAGAACAAATCGTAAGTGGATACAGGGTAAGACTGTATTTTTATTTCAGAAAATCGCATGTTTGTGAAACCAAATTTCGTCAAATTTCAGGAATCGGAAATACCGTGAAAAAAAACCCTAAAAATTTTTTATTCTCTCAGAACAAACCGCATTTCGTTATCTTTTCTCGTTTTAGAGATATTTACCTGCAAAATGTGCCAGTTTATCTAAGAACACCCTGTACCAATATTCACATTTTTTGAAAATTCTTGAAAGTCTACTTTCAAAAATTTAATTTAAAAGAATACACCCCTCTCAAATTTTCATATTTCTTTGGAAATTTAGTGGGGGTAACATTTTGCATCAGTCACTATCCAGGATCATTTCCGCAAACGAAATCAAAAAACAAGAATTAAATAATTTCAACCAAAGGTGTGAATTTGAATAGCAAGTGGCAAGTGGTGTCATTCCTCGGAAGTCCCACAAAGCATAAACTGAAAGTGAAAATCACTGGTGCAGATGCAATTAATTGTCCATTAAAAAAATATGGATAGCCATATTTTTTGTTTATGATACTGGTAATATTTCAGCTTTTTTTTTCTCAGATATTAAAAAAGGATACTGAAAAGAACACCTGGATTGTCAATTGGAATGGACGAGGAACTTGATATCAACCGCGAGAGCAACCCATGTCTTGCTGAATCCAGTCCCACACAAGCTAGCACCATTGAAGACCCACCAGAAAAATTCTCTACTCTTAATTTGAGCGACGACAAACCAGCAACTATGATGTCCGACGAGTTGGATGCAGATGCCCAGCCAAATGGTGGAAGCGATAACGTGGCTGGTGAACAGGAGGAATCCAAAACCAATCTTATAATAAATTATATCCCTGAGAATATGACAGAGGACGAGATTAGGTCACTTTTCTCCAGTATTGGAGTAGTGGAGACATGTAAACTCGTTAGAAGAAAATTCACAGGTACGTATTTCTCTTTTTGAGTAGAAGAAAAAAAATCTATAGACGGAGAACGGAAAGTGTCTGCGATATCGGAGAACGAATAGTTTTGTTTTTATCGGGTGGGTGGCATCTTCTTCATGAAACTCCGCTAGTTTTTCTGTTAGTAGTTTTTTAAATTGTTGATCTGCTATTATGGAGATATAAGTAATATCTCGTGTATATTTTTTTACCCTATATCCAGTCTGTTGTTCACAGGACAATCACTGGGCTACGCATTTGTAGACTATCAGAGACCCGAAGACGCCGAAAGAGCTATCAATGTTCTTAACAGGCTAAGAATTCAACATAAGACTATCAAAGTAAGTTATATAATAAGTTTGTGGCATTAAACTATGGAATATTTATTTGAACGTGAAAAAAACATGAAAAACAATGTCATCAAAAAATGATGATGATTGATTATTCTAATATACCTACTGACAGTAGACAATACAGACTATACAGTACAGTAACGATCACACACAAGTTCCATTGAATTATCAAAAACTAAATTTTAAATTTATCATAAAAGCAGGAAATTCTGGATTGAACGGCCGACTCCGTTTTATAGCGCGACATTGCTTCTAGAACTCTCTAGATAATTCGCTCTTGTTCTTGTCGAATTCGCTGGGCTATTGCAAATCATCTAGTTATCACAGAGTTTTGCAAGATTGTGCACAATTTCCCCAAGTTGACGCATTTTCAACACTACTTCCAAATATGTGACACCAGAAAAAAAAAACAAACCATTTTATATTATATTTATTTATCTATATCAGAATTTCTAAGACTAACTAATAATTTGTGATGTTGAAAAGACACACTTTAACATAAAAAATAGGGTAAAATTTGTCACATTATAAAAATAACTGCACTGTTATATTATAAACATGGTTCAATGCTTTGTTTGTTAGGCTTAAAGCACATTGGCAATTAAATGGAAAATAATTTACCCTGCTATTCATGTTATAATTATTGGTTTGTTAGAGTCAAAAAACATTCTAAGTTGTAGTTTTCCTAATTATTACAGGTTTCACATGCAAGACCGAGTTCAGAAGCGATACAAAGGGCCAATTTACATGTATCGGGAATACCGAAAAAAATGACCCAACAAGATTTCGAAGATTTATTCAGTCCATTTGGTACGATAATTGGTGCTCGCATACTTTACGATAATACCACCGGTAAGAGTCAGTTTTACTTTATATTCTTAAGAATAATTTAAATATTATTCGAACCAAGAACCGAACCAACCCATTAAGTACAGGGTGTCCTATTTAAGATGGTGTTGACGGTTCCCTGCTAAACTCGTAGAGGTAGATTTTTTCTGATTTATTCTTGGGCCAATTTTTTATGACGGATTGAAGACCGCAAGTCTCTATCTTGTACCGTTTTGGGGATACAGGGTGAAACTTGAAATTTCCACCTTTTGAGGGTAGTCATTTCGCGTAAGAAAAAAGATATCAAAAAGATGAAAAATCTGACGCAGTTTTTTACGTAGATTTCATTGGCGTGATGGATTTTTTTCTCGAGATACCGTTTAAGAGAAATGACACAAACTTCATCATTTCAATAGGACACACTGTAAATTATTCCATTTTCAAATTACGCATTTCCAATGATATATAATTTGTTTATATTCTGTCTGTGTTCTATAAGGTTCTTCTAAATATAGGTAGGTAGCAGAGCTGGGAGTAACGACAAAAAAAAGTTACTTCACTTTAACGAGTTACTGAAAGTAACGCGTTATTTGGTTACTTCGTTACTTTTCAGATTGATTGATAAGTAACTGTAACGACGTTACTTTCCTGAAGTAACGCGTTACCAGTGGCGTATTTTAAAATTTGGCGCCCTGGGTCCTCACAGTTTGACGCCCTAACTTAACAAAAAATAAATAAATAATGAAAAAAGATCAAATGAAAAAATAAACATTATTTATTTATTAAATACATGACAGTTTGCAACCTGTCAGAAACAATCGCTCAGCTAAGTTACCGATTTATCAGACCAAAGGCGAAAACATGTGCTTGTCACTTGTCACAGTTTCTAAACAGTCAGAGACTCTTGTGAGAACAGCAGACTAAGGTGTTTTCTCGCGTCCCAAAGTTTTGAAATATTTTTAAAAACTGGTTTAAAACACATGACGTCATAACTTCTCGGCGCGAGAAAATGGTTTGAAAACGTGTATTGGATTCTATTTCGAAACGGCTTGAACCAATTTTGTGTGACGTCATGGGTTCATCGCGAGAATATACTATTTCAAACCTGTTTTGAATCAGTTTCAAAAAAGTGGGCGCGAGAAAACAGCTCTATTGACAATATCATAGTTAATAGATTTGTCTAGTGGCCTCTATATTATATCAAGGATGGCTGAACTGTTCACACAGTATTCGCTTAGGCTGAAGACACAATGACAAATACAGGATACGAGAGACAGATACAAACAAAATATTGAAAATACCAAATAATCGAAATTTTATATCATGGCATGGCAAGTAAATTGTATCCTGTATCCATTTATTCTGGGTTATATAGCATTGATACACGTGTTATTATATGTTTGTCTCTTGTCTCTTGTACCTTGTATTTGCCATTGTGTCTTCAGTCTTATACAGGAACAAAGATAATATTTAATTCTTTCATCGGGTGATCGGACGGTCGCTGAATTGCCCCATTTCTTGTAATTTTATCAATTAAATAATTGGTGTGAGTTTTGTTTTTTTTTTGCTATGTTGGTAATTTGATAGCATTCCTAAGCGCTGGGGACGCGGCTTGTGCCGCCCTTTGCAGTCCTACCGCCCCGGGCCATGGCCCCCATGGCCCTATGGTAAATACGCCACTGCGCGTTACTAGTTACTATGAAAGTAACTCGTTCTCTCAATTTGTTTATCTTCTTTACAAATAATTGACGAGTGAGGAAAAGGAAAATTAGTAATCCAAAAACTTTGTACGTCAAATAAAATGTTGGTAGTACAGAAAATTTCTTTTGAGAGCTCAAAATAATCGTTTTTGGGTGTACCACACGCCGCCTCTGCTCTAAGGACACTATATGCAGACACTGGGACACTTCAAAGAGCAGGTTTGTCCAAAACCAAGTGCTCTATTCAGTCGCTTAATCCTTAATCCGCTTGAATTTTGCAAGAATACTCTGCCACATAGTCTAGGGTGACCATATTTTTTTTGTATGAATGCTGTACATATCTTAAACTTTGGGACAGGCGAGTGGAGAAAGCACAATGCGAAAAAAAAAAAAAAAACTGTGCCACGACCGAAAATAGTTATTTATGCAACAAGTGTGTAAAGTGAATCATTTTTCACGAATGTGAAATTTGACAGTCACATGAGTGAAAAAGGTACTTTACGCACGTTACGTTACATCAAGGAGAATACACACTCTAAGGAGTGCTTATCGGCCTCGTTTTTGGTAATCGCCGCCATATTAGTTTTCAACTGTTTTCAACCATTGCCGACGTCATAACTGAGTCATTCGCTGTTTGAACAGCCTACGTCAAGGCGAGAAACGCCATGCTGTTCACGTCACAACTGGTTGTTTGGCGCGGGAGGTAGGGGGGATTTGTTACACACAGGCCTTATGAGAATAGGCCATCCTGTAGTAGTGTGTATCATCCTTGACGTTACGTTACGTTTACCAGAAAAATACTAAATTGACAGTGTCGACATCTGTCATTGATATTACTTTACGCACTAGTGTGTGGAGTGAATTATTTTACGCACCAGTGCGTGAAGTGGAATTTTACGTCTTCTAAATAGTGCGTAGAGTGAGTAAAAAATAGTTATTTATGCAACAAGTGTGTAAAGTGAACCTTTTTTCACGAATGTGAATTTTGACGCACGAGCCGAAGGCGAGTGCGACAATTACATGAGTGAAAAAAGGAGCTTTACGCACGTATTGCATACAAAATTTTTTCTACTATCAATCAAATATGTTCAAAAAATAAATTTAGACAAATACTTCACGCACTAGTGCGTGAAGTATTTTCACTTTACGCAGTTGTGTGTGAAGTAATTTACCAGAAAAATACTAAATTGACAGTTGTCAACATCTGTCATTGACATTACTTTACGCACTAGTGTGTGAAGTGAGTTACTTTACGCACTAGTGCGTGAAGTGGAATTTTACATCTTCTGAATAGTGCGTAAAGTGAGTACTTTACGCACGGTAGTAGAAAAAAGTTTTTTTGGGAAAATTTTGTCGACTTTATAGCTCGTTTTAGTACCATTTTTTGAAAAAAAAAAAAAAAAAAATTTGATGATAATAGGAAACACATAACTCCCAACCATTTAATTATTATTCTGGAATTCCCAAGACTCAATACCAAAAATTACGCAAAAGTCAAAAAGTACAACCTGTAATTACTGCAGAATGGTTCCTGATTGTCTTATATGTTGTATTTTCTTTTTAGCGGTCAATTTTTCGTACAATTTTTTAAAAAAGACTTAATTATGATCCCAATCGCTGTAAGTTTGCTGTACAAAATCAAATGCTAGACAAACTTCCAGAATGCTGTACAATACCAGCGAAATGCTGTACGTATGGTCACCCTATGATATAGTCGGACTCACAAACTAAAAACATAGGTATTGGCATTTCGTATAATGTCTTATTTGATTGTTTGGACTGCTGTGTTGGTGAGTCAAATTAAGGAATAACGCAATTTTCGACCTAAATAGTTATTTTTGAAGTAACGCGTTACTTTAAAAGTAACGAACTACTTTTAAAGTAAAGAAGTTACTTTCAAAGTAAAGAAGTTACAGTAACGCGTTACTTTCCAATAAGTAACGAAAATAAAGTTATCAGTATTCGAAAGTAACTGTAAATTCTAAGTAACGAGTTATTTTTAAGCAAAAGTAACTGTAAAGTAATGCGTTACTTTTTTCAAGTAACGATCCCAGCTCTGGTAGAAAGCATAAAAAACCTATTATCTTTGAGTGTTATAGTTTGAAAACATGGTTTCCTCTTCTGAGTATCTATCTAATAACCATGATTCGGTAATTATAACAATATCATAGTTGCATTTGCTTTATTGCTAGTTCAAGTTCAAATAATAATTGGAAAATTTGTTCCCATACATTTGCTCATTTGTCATGAACTCTGTTTTTGAAACGTATACCTATCTAATCGGATCTTCTTGACTTCATGAAGTTTGAAGTAATTCTTGCAGCATGATTTCTAAGTCTTTTTCGTTTGGGAATCCAAAATTATTGAGGTTTTCTCCAGATATATTGATTCCCCTATTTTTCCAATGTAGAAGATAGGTCTGATTTCCCTTTGGGGTTAGAGAATAAAAAGAGGTAGCTGTGAGCTGTAATGGTGAGGAAATTTTGAATTTTTTAAGAATATTTTAATGGGGTTTATTTTACCATTTTTTTACCTACATTTTCCGTTTTTTTTTTCCAGTACGTCAACTTTTCCCGGAATCCAAAGAAAATCTGCAAGGTAAGTATTTGTCTTTCTATCATTGACACTGATAATAGACCTATCTATTTTACCAGACAAAGAGGTAATAATACGAAAACTTTATTAGATAGAAAAAGACGCAGAACGCTTATTGCGCAAGACGAGGCAAAACGTACCAAATTATGTTAGACTTGCGTATAGAAATTCTTTCTTATTATTTGCACGGAATAAAAAGAAAGGAGGAAAACCGCGTGATGTGCAACGTATTTGTCAACCAAAAACACAAACATTTGAAAATCGATCACTTGCCTTGCTATGTCAAGTTGAATATCAAGCATAATTTTATCCTTGTCAGACCACGGGCAATGAACAAGGACAAGGAGATACCCAGCGTGCAAAAGGATTACTTCACACCTGTAGCCAATAAAAATGCATTGCCTCGTGTTGCGCGCGCATACAGATAAAAATAGATAGGTCTATTGAACACCATATTACTGATAACAACCCACTTTGGTATTTTTGGTTCACTATAAATAGTTACTTATTATTACACTTAACGCTTTTTAAATTTAATATTTTCGCAAACGGTTGTTGGCTTAAAATAATGAAGGATGATACTATTAATATGAGATATTTATTCAATTGAAAAACCTAGCCCATCATTATTTTTCTGTTCACATACTAAAGTACAGTTTTTTTGTTCATAGGCGTTTCACAAGGAATAGGCTTCATCAGATTTGACAAACGTTTAGAAGCTGAACAAGCTATCCAGGAGCTTAACGGTACCACCCTCGAAGGAGCCTCTGAACCCCTCAAAATAACTTTTACGGGTCATTCTAGAGGTAATAACAGAACTGTTCCACCATTGAATATTCACCCAACGACACCAGCTAGAAGAAGGTTTCCAGTTCCTCCGATGAGACGAACTAGGTAAGAATGTTGTTTTACTTGATGTTTGTTCCAACAAGATTTCAATGTCAAGTCATTTGAGTTATTCATTTATATTTCTGATTTCTTATGTATGATGTTTGTTATCAGAAAATCTAGTTCTGACTTTTTATCTTTGTTGAAACAATCTATGATTATTTGATTATTATTTCGTTTATTTATGTTATGACATGGTGTAAATTCTTAATATTGGAATTTAGGAGGATGCTCAGAACAGTCAGAACACCAGGGTCCTTATTCTTGAAACATATGGGAGCAACGTTCCCAGGAGAACGAGTTTTCCGTCTTTCTCAATGATATGCAAATGATAATATAAATAACAAGGACGAAACACTCGTTCTCCTATGGGAACACTGCTCCCCTGTTTTAAGAATAAGGACCCTGGTAGCTTGTGCTTGTGGTTTGTAGGTCGGGTTAGTATACCCGGTAAGTTTGGTAACTGGGGAGTAAGAGAGGAACCACTGTTGGATTAATACTCATTTTTATTAAACAATTAACAACTATTTATTTATATACAAAAAATGCAACTTTGACAAACCTCATAAACAATGGTAATTCATTAAAAAGAATAAATCGCTAACAAAATCTGTTGTGTGCTACACATCGAAAGATTTGGTACCTACTTAAACTTTTGATAACGCTGCGTCTGGTATAGATCGTAGTATTGTCTATGTTTCCTGATGATCCACTGGCGGTGCGTTGGTGTCGATGACCTAGGAGTACCTGGACGCAGAGCTGGGCAGGGCTTTGTGCTTGCGAAAGTGCTTGAAGCACTTTGAGGACTTGAAAGCCCTGTGCGTCAAGCCCTTTTATAGATTTGTAATTGGGGCTTGCAAAGTCAATTACTTTAGAAAAGTGCTTGGTAATTTGTAATTGAAAAAAGTAATTCAAGCCCTTTCAATGAGCTTCAATTACTTTTAGAGCGCTTGAAGCACTTTTGGGAGCTTGAAGCCCTTTGAAAGAGCTTGAAGCACTTTAAGAGGGCTTGAAGCACTTTACCGGTGTGAAGTTAGCAGCCTTTTTGCAGCAGCCAAAAATGTGAAGTTAGCAGCCATTTGTAGCAGCCAAAATTGTGAAGTTAGCAGCCATTTTTTGGCAGCTCTTTTTTTTTCAATGGTTGATTTACAAACTTTGTGTACATTATTATTATATACCCTCGGGCAAAGTACAACAGAAAAACAAAACAAAAAACTACCCCTAATAAAACATCAAGTAGAACATTAATATCTACAAAACAACTTTTTTAAAATAAAATGTGACACCATGAAATTTAGAATAGTCTTTAACATAGCCCTCAAGTACGTCTAGTTCGAAGAACAACCCTTTATTGCCGTCAGGCTGGGATCAACCCTTATTATTAAAATAATTGGAAAAGCACATTTCGGAAAAATGTAACACCATCAAACTCAGTGAAACGATCATCAGAACCATTTCGAACATTCCCACCACAGGACAACCCCTTACCTGCCGTCAGAGTGTGTTAAAAACTACCCTTAGTACGAAAATAATAGAAAAAAATTGGAAAAACACATTTCGAGAAACTGTAACGCTCTGAAACTTGAATGGGACGATAACTAGAACCATTTCAAACATTCCCACCAAAGGACAACCCCTTACCTGCCGTCAGAGTGTGTTAAAAACTACCCTTAGTACGAAAATAATAGAAAAAAATTGGAAGAACACATTTCGAGAAACTGTAACGCTCTGAAACTTGATTGCGACGATAACTAGAACCATTTCGAACATTCCCACCAAAGGACAACCCCTTACCTGCCGTCAGAGTGTGTTAAAAACTACCCTTGGTACGAAAGTAATAGAAAAAAATTGGAAAAACACATTTCGAGAAACTCTAACGCTCTGAAACTTGATTGGGACGATAACTAGAACCATTTCGAACATTCCCACCAAAGGACAACCCTTTACCTGCCGTCAGAGTGTGTTAAAAACTACCCTTAGTACGAAAATAATAGAAAAAAATTGGAAAAACACATTTCGAGAAACTGTAACGCTCTGAAACTTGATTGGGACGATAACTAGAACCATTTCGAACATTCCCACCAAAGGACAACCCCTTACCTGCCGTCGGAGTGTGTTAAAAACTACCCTTAGTACGAAAATAATAGAAAAAAATTGAAAAAACACATTTCGAGAAACTGTAACGCTCTGAAACTTGATTGGGACGATAACTAGAACCATTTCGAACATTCCCACCAAAGGACAACCCCTTACCTGCCGTCGGAGTGTGTTAAAAACTACCCTTACTACGAAAATAAGAGAAACAAATTGGAAAAACACATTTCGAGAAACTGTAACGCTCTGAAACTTGATTGGGACGATAACTAGAACCATTTCGAACATTCCCACCAAAGGACAACCCCTTACCTGCCGTCAGAGTGTGTTAAAAAACTACCCTTAGTACGAAAATAATAGAAAAATATTGGAAAAACACATTTCGAGAAACTGTAACGCTCTGAAACTTGAATGGGACGATAACTAGAACTATTTCAAACATTCCCACCAAAGGACAACCCCTTACCTGCCGTCGGAGTGTGTTAAAAACTACCCTTAGTACGAAAATAATAGAAACAAATTGGAAAAACACATTTCGAGAAACTGTAACGCTCTGAAACTTGATTGGGACGATAACTAGAACCATTTCGAACATTCCCACCAAAGGACAACCCCTTACCTGCCGTCGGAGTGTGTTAAAAACTACCCTTAGTACGAAAATAATAGAAACAAATTGGAAAAACACATTTCGAGAAACTGTAACGCTCTGAAACTTGATTGGGACGATAACTAGAACCATTTCGAACATTCCCACCAAAGGACAACCCCTTACCTGCCGTCGGAGTGTGTTAAAAACTACCCTTACTACGAAAATAAGAGAAACAAATTGGAAAAATACATTTCGAGAAACTGTAACGCTCTGAAACTTGATTGGGACGATAACTAGAACCAATTCGAACATTCCCACCAAAGGACAACCCCTTACCTGCCGTCAGAGTGTGTTAAAAACTACCCTTAGTACGAAAATAATAGAAAAATATTGGAAAAACACATTTCGAGAAACTGTAACGCTCTGAAACTTGAATGGGACGATAACTAGAACTATTTCAAACATTCCCACCAAAGGACAACCCCTTACCTGCCGTCGGAGTGTGTTAAAAACTACCCTTAGTACGAAAATAATAGAAACAAATTGGAAAAACACATTTCGAGAAACTGTAACGCTCTGAAACTTGATTGGGACGATAACTAGAACCATTTCGAACATTCCCACCAAAGGACAACCCCTTACCTGCCGTCGGAGTGTGTTAAAAACTACCCTTAGTACGAAAATAATAGAAACAAATTGGAAAAACACATTTCGAGAAACTGTAACGCTCTGAAACTTGATTGGGACGATAACTAGAACCATTTCGAACATTCCCACCAAAGGACAACCCCTTACCTGCCGTCAGAGTGTGTTAAAAACTACCCTTAGTACAAAAATAATAGAAAAAAATTGGAAAAACACATTTCGAGAAACTGTAACGCTCTGAAACTTGAATGGGGCGATAACTAGAACCATTTCAAACATTCCCACCAAAGGACAACCCCTTACCTGCCGTCAGAGTGTGTTAAAAACTACCCTTAGTACGAAAATAATAGAAAAAAATTGGAAAAACACATTTCGAGAAACTGTAACGCTCTGAAACTTGATTGCGACGATAACTAGAACCATTTCGAACATTCCCATCAAAGGACAACCCCTTACCTGCCGTAAGAGTGTGTTAAAAACTACCCTTAGTACGAAAATAATAGAAAAAAATTGGAAAAACACATTTCGAGAAACTGTAACGCTTTGAAACTTGATTGGGACGATAACTAGAACCATTTCGAACATTCCCACCAAAGGACAACCCCTTACCTGCCGTCGGAGTGTGTTGAAAACTACCCTTAGTACGAAAATAATAGAAACAAATTGGAAAAACACATTTCGAGAAACTGTAACGCTTTGAAACTTGATTGGGACGATAACTAGAACCATTTCGAACATTCCCACCAAAGGACAACCCCTTACCTGCCGTCGGAGTGTGTTAAAAACTACCCTTACTACGAAAATAAGAGAAACAAATTGGAAAAACACATTTCGAGAAACTGTAACGCTCTGAAACTTGATTGGGACGATAACTAGAACCATTTCGAACATTCCCACCAAAGGACAACCCCTTACCTGCCGTCGGAGTGTGTTAAAACCTACCCTTAGTACGAAAATAATAGAAACAAATTGGAAAAACACATTTCGAGAAACTGTAACGCTCTGAAACTTGATTGGGACGATAACTAGAACCATTTCGAACATTCCCACCAAAGGACAACCCCTTACCTGCCGTCGGAGTGTGTTGAAAACTACCCTTAGTACGAAAATAATAGAAACAAATTGGAAAAACACATTTCGAGAAACTGTAACGCTTTGAAACTTGATTGGGACGATAACTAGAACCATTTCGAACATTCCCACCAAAGGACAACCCCTTACCTGCCGTCGGAGTGTGTTAAAAACTACCCTTACTACGAAAATAAGAGAAACAAATTGGAAAAACACATTTCGAGAAACTGTAACGCTCTGAAACTTGATTGGGACGATAACTAGAACCATTTCGAACATTCCCACCAAAGGACAACCCCTTACCTGCCGTCAGAGTGTGTTAAAAACTACCCTTAGTACGAAAATAATAGAAAAAAATTGGAAAAACACATTTCGAGAAACTGTAACGCTCTGAAACTTGATTGCGACGATAACTAGAACCATTTCGAACATTCCCATCAAAGGACAACCCCTTACCTGCCGTAAGAGTGTGTTAAAAACTACCCTTAGTACGAAAATAATAGAAAAAAATTGGAAAAACACATTTCGAGAAACTGTAACGCTTTGAAACTTGATTGGGACGATAACTAGAACCATTTCGAACATTCCCACCAAAGGACAACCCCTT